GTAAAATAGTCAAAATAAACCGAATAATATTATATGGCCACATGGCATTAGACGGTACACCTGTTAAAAGTGTTACAAAAAAGCGGAGACGAGTATTGTCGAGTTTGTGGTGAATTTGTTATTCACAGTGGGTATTTTAGTATATACAGTAAAAGGTCGTCGCCTCGGTAGATTGAACTTTGAAGCATTTCTTGTTCGTCATATTAAATACAAACGAATATTTGCCGTCGAAGGCCCTGTTTATAAGGAGGCGAGTTACTCTGCAATTAGCGAATAAAACTTATCTAATGATTCGTATGTATTTTTGAGCAATATATTATATTTCAAATGCAAAGCACATACATTTATATACATACATTCGATCTCGGGCGGCCCAGTTAACAAATACCCGAACATCTTTCGTTTAATAAGGTAACTACTATTCATCTCGCCGAAGGCAATATCTCGCCTCTTTCTGCCGGGAACTCGTCACTGGCGAGTTTATTTATACTCGGCTGTATCGTCATGTAAACAGTCTCCCGGGTTTTACTACTGTATAAGTTTCTATAATATATAAACATAGCCGGTGTCAAGCGAAATTCCTGACCTCTGCTAAATACCTGACCTAGCGTGACGGGTCAGAAATTTCGCGCGTACAGGCGCGAAATACATGACGCTTGCTAAATTCTAAGTCGGCCAAAACTGTTTTTTAGAGTTTAGATAAAATAATCATGATGTTAATTTCTAATACTTCGTTAATTAAATATTTCAAATCGACATCGCTAAGTTTCAATCACAAACACTTTAAATTTCAAAGCGGAATTGTGTGGTCGATCGTGACCGCGAAATACACGACGTTTGCTAAATACGGTCGGTCGAAACGATTTTTAATCCATATGCGATGTTACCAAATGTTTCTATAGCATAGACATCGCCAAATTTAAACGGCCAACTCATGAACTTCGAACTCATCGTTGCTGCTTACTAAATAGTGAGAAGGTCAAACGCGAACCGATTTTTAGTGCTTATAGTATAGTAATGCATATACGGCATAACCTTTGAAACTGGCGTCTATTTTATATCATGCACTAAGATCGCTTTTCGAGTGATTTTTCCATATCAACGATTCAAGGTTTATTATAACGTTCACAATCAGTGGTATAGTGTCAATTCAGTTGATCAATTGTAGAATTAATGTTGGACAATTTATGTATAAATAAAATGGCTTTATAAATACACGTGTTGTCTGTTCAGTTGCGAAATTTATGAGCCAAAGTCATTCATGCGCATCGTCTGCGCATGGGCAGTTTCTACAATAGTCAGATATTTCGCAAGTCAGGAATTTCGCGTCACACCTGGATCTTGTCAGTTGACGAGTATAAACTCGACTTGCCGGGTAATTCGCCTCGATATAAATAGGCCTATAAAGACTCGCATCTTGTCTTGACATGCTTGATTACTAGACAGACACGCACACGAAATTCCCTCTTGGCAATGTAGCAAACATATCACGGCGATGCATTAACTGAAACACAGAAACAAGGCATCATCTTGATGTTTATTGAAAATTCAAAATCGAATCAACCGCGACCGAGTTGTTGAAATCCTCTCGCAAGACTCTCAAAACTAGAGGCATATATATTTACGCCTGACTATGTTATAAATATAATATTATTATATTAAACAACAGCGTATGCCTGTACGGATTTTGAACGATAATATCTTGAAGGACATACGGTTCAAACAGCCAATGAAAGTCATTGTTTTAACAAGTCCCTGCCGTTAACCAATTCACACTATTAAGCATCGTGATTGGTGCGGTTCGATCTGAGAAACCATAGAAGTGTTCCAGAGGTTCTTCCCGCTCGCCGTCGCCTAGCTTGAATCCTCGTGTATCCCTCATTATCCCCCCTACGAGCGTGGAAGAACCTCTGGCACCCAGGGTAACATATACTAAATTACTCGTTTATGTTTAATTAAAGTGCACATGACATGAAAATTTGGTCCTCAATTTTTATGCAGCACTTCAAAGCACCTTGAAAATAATGAAGAATGGCCTTAACAATTTATTTACAGCTCATCTCATTCTCAAATTATCTAACCTGAGTATCAGGCTCTATTTTACAAATAGAGCCTGACACAAAACTTAACCTGATCGCTTTCCGCCCACAGCAAAGTTTATATTTAGTATCCAATCAAAATGTCGCAGGAGAAATTAAAATTTCACACAACGACAACAACAATCTAATTATAGCATAGGCGCCCACTAAACGGCTGAATTTAAATTAAAACTGCAATGAACTTATAAAATTAACAAAAATAATCACAAATTAGCGAAATATATTGCAAATGTAGCTTATATTAAATCGCCACCCGATTGCTCTCTCCTCCGCCGAGGTTTCAGTGACTACAATGAGCTTTACATGGCGCTTGCCGTATTTATCAACAAACTGACGTATAATTATAAAGTATACTTTATAACTATACGTCAGTCGATAGTGCAATCTGATGGCGATTTAATATAAGCTACATTTGCAATATATTTCGCTAATTTGCGATTATTTTATAATTTTACTGCAGTTTTAATTTAAATTCAGCCGTTTAGTGGGCCGGCTATAATTGTAGTTGTGAATTATATCAACAACAATAGTATAATCTAATTAGCACCAGCCAATCAAATGACAGATTTAAAAATCGTTTGTCTAATCGGCCAATCAGCGCTCAGTCCAGATTCTGGACTGAACAACCAGGCAAAATGCCACTTTTGTGTCAGGCCGTACTTTTCTCCCCTTCGCCCACGATCAGGCGTGCCTGTGCCCTAAAAAGTACGGCCTGATACTCAGGTTTTGGGGGCCACGGCTCCCCCAGTGGCGTAACGGAGGAACAGGGGGCCCTTAGGTATATTTGGTGTGGGGGCCCCTGTTGACTGTTGTCATTGTTTGACTCATGAGATATATTTTTATATTGAGTATTTATACAATGTAGTCTGGAAAATTCCATGTCTATAGCAATAACAGTCTCCAACACATGTAACAGCTAATAAGAATAACATTTGTTTTATTTGAGATGGAATAAAAAAATCAATTACCGTTGTCGATGGAGGTTTAATTCTTTAGCATTATTAATTTTACATTTTCCCATTGATTCTTAACCTGCATTTTTTACATTTTCTAATTTTCTGGGCGATAGACCGTGGGTGATGGGGCCCCAAACTGTCGGGGGCCCTTAGTTTTGGAACTAACCCTACCCAATGAGCGCTACGCCACTGGGCTCCCCCCTTTGGAAATATTTATTGCAATATTCATTATACTTCAAAATTCATTAAAGTAAATTAATTCTACTCAGGTTTTCTAGTATGCTTGTTTAGGGAAAGTACATTTATTATGCCGAGGGGGGATGAAGATGTTAAGAGGGGGGGGCTCCGAAATATTTTCTGGCATTAAAGGGGGGGCTCTGAAAGTTCTTGATATACTGAAGGGGGGGGCTCTAAACTTTTCAACGTTTTGGTCCAGCAGGGGCCTGGAGTGTTCACTCCCACCATTGTTAATAGAATAGATGGTTTGGAAACTCATTAGAATAACAATATAACTCATTACCCAGTGTTAGTGAACAATAACATTCATACATCTGGTCTTGTACCTTCACGTGAGACGTATTGTATTTTTGCCCCACTAACCAATAGCAATGTTTTTGGAAAGTTGCCTATCTACGACTCAAACAATATGATAAATTGAAAATTGCGGTGAAAGAATATATTTATGAATAAATGTTGACTAACATAGATAATGAGTTATATTGCTATTCTTAATGATTTCCAAACTGTCTATACTATGTTAATTAACTGACATTGGGATACCCTGGAACCAGAGGGCATTTATTTTCGCCTGTTTTGATTTCGCGTTCGCCAAATTACCTAAAAAAAACTCTGGGCCAGGGTAACATTGGGGGAGCTCCACATGGAATACGTAAAAGAAGGCTGCAACACACCTGTTAAAAACGCATGCAAAAGCAGCAATATGCTTCAACTTCTGAAATTTTCATTCTGTTTCTACCAAATTTTCCGTTCTTACAAATCATTTTTTTTTTCTTTTGGAATTGCTAATTTTGGCGGGCAAATTATGCACAAACGTGGCGCGAAAAAATTAAAATAAGCTATTGGTGATTTTACTGAATCATTTGTAGAGTGGACCAAGGGTACTTTAATTAATTAAACTGAAATCTGTTTCTAAATACAACCATTTTATGGGAAGATATAGCGATACAAGTGTCGAAAAATCGGCCATATTGTTACTAAAAATAGAACAAAATTGCGGATTTTTAGAAAATTAAGTCATTATATCTTCGCAAGGAATGGTTGTCAGGGACGTAGCAACTGGGGGTTGTGGGAGGAGGGTGTAAGGTTCCCCCCTACTGTGAAATTCAGGCAAAAACTATGTAAACTTCAAGTTAAAATTTTGACATTTTCAGGTAAAATTTGTGTAATAAAGTAATTATTTTTGCGAAATGATAACCATTTTTGTAAAATACAGTCCATTTACATGCAATTTGTTTGCGAGTTTGGTTTAGAAAACTCCGGAAATTCAGTCCTAGAGCTTCAAAAATGTAAAAATGTTCTGGGGGAGACCCCCTTTTCTCCCAAAACTTAGTATGAGAGTGCCAATCAATCACAAAAAGCTTTATCATAATTATTACACGTATAATCCGTGGGGGGGCGTTGAAAATTTTAAAAACTTGAAGGGGGGCCTTCGAAAATTTTCCAATAACCTCAACAGGGGCCCTGAAAAAAAATGTTCGTTTTTCAAGACATCTTCATCCCCTCGGCGTAATAAATGTACTTTCCCTTATTACGTACCAAGTCAACTTGATCAATTGTTCGTTATAAAATGAGGAAAACAAGAAAACAAACTTAACAAAGTGCTTGTGCCGAGGAAAACATTCAAAATCAAGTACTTGAATGCGTTGGAGCAGAGTTACGGCAAACATTTGTTTCTCGTGTAAAAGAGGCAGGTTTTTATGTGATAATGGCGGACGAAACAACTGTCATATCAGCCGTAGAACAGCTCTCTCTTTGCTTCAGCTATTACGATTGCAATGAGAAGACAATTTGCGAAAACTTCATTTTCTTACTGGATGTTTTAGATAAAGAAAAGGGTTCGAATCCCGGAAATTCCGCTAATTCCGGCGAAGTTGTTGTAAGGCAAGACTCCATTCCCATGACAATGTATAATTTTCTGCAGAGATGCGAAGAAGAAAATCAAAATGTGTTTGAGATTGAAGAACCTAAACTTACTGGAAAGGTCATTGGGAAAGCAATTTGGAATGAAATTGAACAATCCGGTTTATCTCCCAACGCAGCTGTTGCACAAAGCTATGATGGCGCAAGTGTCATGAGTTCAACGAATGTGGGAACATGAGCTTTTGTAAAGGAGCATTGTAAGTATGTATGCAAAGTACTATCACTGCTCCGCCATGTACTCAATTTCGCACTCGTTAATGCGTCAAAGCTTTCCGTTACTCGCAACATGATAAGCACTGACAAGAAGATAACATCCTTTCCAATTACTGGCAACAAGAGGAAAGTTACCTTAGGATATGCTATTAACTTATCCAGTATCCACTGTTCATCATGGCAGCAAAAACTTTCAGTCATTGTGGGAGACATGATGGGTTGAACGAATGACTGGACAAGAAAATTTTGTAACAAATTACGTTCCAATTGTGAGGACACTAATGGCTATTAGCAGATGGGAAGATACAGATGCCAAATCACAGGCTTCGTCGCTAATCAAAGCAGTGACAAAAAGCACTTTTATTGTCACTCTATTTTGCATCGTTAACGTGAACAATAATCCTCGAGCCGGCGGCGCGAAGCGCCGTGCGAGGGTACTAATTCCCCCCCGGCTATTTACACCCGGGGAAACGAAAGCATTAGCGAAGTCTAAAGTTCATCAATCATCGCGGGCGCTGACCAACGAACGACGATCTTGAGTGGGTGAGCAGCTGGGAAATTTGCTGCCGCTTTGCAGAGAAATTGCTGGCGCACGTGATATTTTACAAAAATTCGAAAATTTGAAAAAACAAGACGAGTGAAATTTCAACTGATGCTTTTGCAATTTTAACACGACGATCAAGGAATTTAAATTGTAGGAAAAACTTCACTAACATCTCAAGTATGGAAAGCATCTACATTATTAGCATTTTAGTTTGTGGAATGATTCAAAATTCAGGCGATAAAGTTACATGGCTTGGAGTTGGCTTTTATGCTCTTCGAATATCCATTTTCATTCGAGGATTACTGCAACTTGTTGGTCTCATGGGTACCAAAATCGACATAAACGTAAACCAGTAACCAAGAGCTATAACAAAAATCGCTTTTCAAAAAGATAAACTCTATTCAGTCGAAATGATGAGGGTAAATAAACATGCTACTGCGTGATAGTGATTTCGAAGCAACTTTCTCATATATATTTTAAAAAGTGGGATAATGAATCAGATTTTGCTTTTTGCAATCCCAAAAAGGTATGAAAATTATTTAAATATTTGAGGTTTCCATGTTTATAAAGTGTTTTTTAAGAAAAAGAAATATTTTCCCGAGAAAAAAGCATAGTTTGTGCAGAAAACTGTTTTTTGAGGTAGAAGATCCTGGGAGAGGGGGTGTAGAAGCGTGGGCGGACAGCAAAAAACCTTGACTTTTGCTCCAAAAAATTAATACCAAATTTTGTTTTGCCTTTGTTTAATGTGTAATTTAAACAAGTTTTTTTACATTTAAAAATTCCGCTTAGTGATCAAAGCTTGGATTATGTTTGCAGTATTGGCTATTTGTTTACTTTTGGAGGTCAAAGTTTGAGGTACAATTATTTTTAAAGTTTGCAAACTACCCAGCTAATACTTGGCTGTTGTTTGCAGCCTTATATGCTGATTAAGATTTAGTTTGGTCCACAATATTAGATCCTTTCAGTGAAGGGAAATTAAAAATAGTATATTTGATTATTTTTGCAGCACAGTCAGTACATAGGTAGGGTGCAATACCAGGCCAAATTGCAAAAAAAATTGCCTATTGCTCCAAATTCAAAATCATATTTTTTTGCGCCCAAGGCACATAGGAAACAAAATATAACAATAAATTTTGTTGAAAAATTCCGCCTATGGGTCTTATTTCGCTTTGAAACGCGAGCGTTTACTGCTCTTGTATGACGCAAGAGTTCGAAAACATTCGAAGTACGTATAC